GGGGGCTGGTTCTGATTCAGCACCGCAGACTCTCCCGGAACCTGGGTCCCTCGGCCCAACCAGGCATCTGTTCTGCTTGGGGATGGGTCTGCCTGGGGTGGCCCTGGAGGGGAGGGGCCGGTGCTTCTGAGGAGACCTGGAAGTGCTTCGAAGCTGCCAGTCTGAAGCAGACCCTCGGGGCAGCCGTCAGTGCAGGGGCTGGGCAGCGTGGGGAGGCCCTGGGGGTGGAGACAGGGAGGTTTCGTCTTGGGAAAGTGCACCGGGTGGGAGTCATATCTTCCCGTTGAAGGACTTGGATCCAGTGCTTCTGAAGGAGGGATCCTGCTTTTGGGGTCATCTTTGTGGCACCCAGAAGTCGCAGAGTAGGAACCAAATCTTGGAAGCCTTTTAAGAAGGTGCTCCGTAGGATTTCAGTTAACCCTTTTGCACTTAGAAAATCTATTCTGTGCTTGAAACAACTACCAGGTTTCACCTCTCATGTCCCTCAGCGGCCGTTTCCTGTCTTCGAGGTTTTATGAGCACATTAGCATCAGGTGGCGGGGATCCTTATCCCTCGGGGTGACTGCAGGGAAAGTCATCAGAAAGGGGAGTCCTGGGCCCCCAGGAAGGTGGAAGCGGCTCGCGGTCGCCCTGCAGCTGAGAGCGTCTGGCGCCAGAGCCCCCCTGGCCGGCCAGCTGGACGTCACTCCCCACTCGCTTGTCTGTCACACGGCAGGCGCCGGGCCAGGCAGAGCTCTGGGCACTGGTCAACAGGCCTGAGGCCGGGGAGCAGGGGCGCCTTGGGACTGGGAGGCCTCCTGGGAGCTGTAGCCCGAGCAAAGGCCAGAGGAGGTGGCCAGAAGGTGGGGAGCCCCAGAGCCACTGCGGGGCGGCAGGCGGCTCAAGTCAGCGCGGCTGCCTGGTGGGGGCATGGTGGGGCCAGGCCTGACCAGGGACCCTCACCGCACCCTCTGCCCCTGTGTCCTCGCCTTCCCGCTGACCTCCTGCTGGAGCCTGACTCTGGCCGTGCTCTCCGTGGCACCAGCATGCTGAGGGTCTTCCTTGTGGCCCCAAGTTAGAAACAACCCATCACGCGTTACGAAACCAGCTTAGTGGGTTTGGACCAGTGTGCTTTTAGACAGAGTAGGACGCGCAGCAGGAGGTCGGCAGGTCCAGCACACAGGAGGGGTCTGTGCATTTGGGGGCATCTGTTGTTTTGTGCTCAGTCCTGATTTAAAGCTTATTTCAGATAGTCTCAGGGCTCTGACTGGCAGATCCTGGAGGGTGCTGAGTGCATAGGAGGCCTGGTGACATTTGCTGACGGACGAGTGTCAGAAAAACTGCTGCCAGGAGAGTTTCACTCATGTGACGTGTGGGAAATTCTTTACTTTATGGGCCAGAAGAAAGTTAACTTTCTGCTGATGGATGAGCGAGTCTCCGTTTCGCAAAGTTAATAGCATATTGGAACTGGAAAGAGCCTCTAAAGATGTTTGCATTAAAATGTTCATTTTTGGTGGTCCTCCTGAGGCTCAGAGGTGCTGGCACTTGCCTGGGGACACAGAGCACTGGCAGTGGAGCCAGCCTAACTCCGGTCTCAGTGCCGTCTGGGATGCAGGGCGCTGACTTTGGTGGCCTCCCCATCCCCGTGAGGCCGTGACCTCTGGTGTTTTTGGCTCGTCCAGGAGCTGAGGGGTGGCAAGTCCAGGGTAACTGCTGGCAGGAGGCCCTGAGGTCAGCCCAGGAACGGGGGCTGTGAGCTGGGGTGTCTGCCTTCTGGCTCCGCACGACTCGAG